AACTTTGGGGTATTTGAAGTATATTAATTCGACTCACCATTTTTATTATCACCTTTTAATGTACTTTCATATGAGCTATCGTTTCTCTCTATACGATAAGATTTTTGAAAAATTTTTTGTTTTATCCCAATATTTTAAAAATAAATATAATTTATTTTGGGATTTTATTCGAGGGATTATAACTTTGGGGTATTTGAAGTATATTAATTCGACTCACCATTTTTATTATCACCTTTTAATGTACTTTCATATGAGCTATCGTTTCTCTCTATACGATAAGATTTTTGAAAAATTTTTTGTTTTATCCCAATATTTTAAAAATAAATATAATTTATTTTGGGATTTTATTCGAGGGATTATAACTTTGGGGTATTTGAAGTATATTAATTCGACTCACCATTTTTATTATCACCTTTTAATGTACTTTCATATGAGCTATCGTTTCTCTCTATACGATAAGATTTTTGAAAAATTTTTTGTTTTATCCCAATATTTTAAAAATAAATATAATTTATTTTGGGATTTTATTCGAGGGATTATAACTTTGGGGTATTTGAAGTATATTAATTCGACTCACCATTTTTATTATCACCTTTTAATGTACTTTCATATGAGCTATCGTTTCTCTCTATACGATAAGATTTTTGAAAAATTTTTTGTTTTATCCCAATATTTTAAAAATAAATATAATTTATTTTGGGATTTTATTCGAGGGATTATAACTTTGGGGTATTTGAAGTATATTAATTCGACTCACCATTTTTATTATCACCTTTTAATGTACTTTCATATGAGCTATCGTTTCTCTCTATACGATAAGATTTTTGAAAAATTTTTTGTTTTATCCCAATATTTTAAAAATAAATATAATTTATTTTGGGATTTTATTCGAGGGATTATAACTTTGGGGTATTTGAAGTATATTAATTCGACTCACCATTTTTATTATCACCTTTTAATGTACTTTCATATGAGCTATCGTTTCTCTCTATACGATAAGATTTTTGAAAAATTTTTTGTTTTATCCCAATATTTTAAAAATAAATATAATTTATTTTGGGATTTTATTCGAGGGATTATAACTTTGGGGTATTTGAAGTATATTAATTCGACTCACCATTTTTATTATCACCTTTTAATGTACTTTCATATGAGCTATCGTTTCTCTCTATACGATAAGATTTTTGAAAAATTTTTTGTTTTATCCCAATATTTTAAAAATAAATATAATTTATTTTGGGATTTTATTCGAGGGATTATAACTTTGGGGTATTTGAAGTATATTAATTCGAAGTATATTAATTCGCCTACTTATATTATATATATATATTATATATATATATATTATATATATATACTTATATTATATATATATATATATTAGTATATTAATTCGCCTACCTGAAGTATATTAATTCGCCTACTTATAAGCTTAGCAAGTTTTTATTTAATATTATTTAATATACCTGTCGCCAAAGATTGGCGACTTTTTCGTTGAATTGTCATTTCGGTTAATTGTCCCCCATTTACTTTTCGTTAATTTTTCAGCCGTTCACCCCTTATTTTTTGTTGTCCACTCAATCTTTTTTCCCGCCAAAATTCCTTTCTCTATTTTTTAGTGACAGCCTACTCCTGTCACCTCAATTCTTTCCGATTGTTTTTTCTGTTCGTTTTCTCTGCCCCGTTTTCTCTACGCATTTTGTTTTCTATAATTCTGTAGGAATTATTTTCAATTTCGCAATTTTTTTGAGTTTTTTGTCAAACCCCGCCCTCTTTTAATCTCTATTTAAGTCGGCAGGCAAGCCTTAAAAATTATCCTTCAATCCTTCCATTCTACATCTATTTTACGGATCAACTTGTGGCTTGCCTGTGGACTTCTCTGTGGCCTTAACGTGTTATTTGGAATTTGTTGTGGAATAAATTTTACTTGTTTGAACTGTGTTAATTTTTTGTGGATTTTTTGGCGGCCGGCTGTGATTTATTAGAACTTGGAAGTTGTTCAATTTGTGTGTTTTTGGTTGAGAAAAAGTGAACGGCACTACCGTTCACCACTCCTACTCTTATTCGGCTAAAGTGACTCGTGCTCCGAGTCACTCAACTGCTCTTCTTCCTTCCTTTGACTGTTGGCACTACCAACAGTCTGGTGCTAGTGCCACATTTCACTAGCTGGTGCCACGACTCTTCCTCCTCCTCTCCAAACCATTTGTCGGGAACTCCCGACTCCCGACAAACTGGTGCCACGACCCGGGACCGCCGCGTGGTCTACTCCAACATCAACTACTCGTGTGTGAGCTGCACTACAGCCACCACCACAACTACAACAACTTCAATTTTTTGCGTGTGAACTGAACAACAGTCACAACAACAACCACTACTACAACTACCACTACAACCAGCATTGAACCACCGCAATGTCAGGAGTGATCCGACTACAACTAACAACCGTGTTGGCCACAGTGAAGGAAAAAGGCCGTGCTGTTCTTACTGGATTGAATGCTCAGGATACCACAATGGAAGAAGATGACCGACTGGAGCTGGAAGCAATCCAACTCAGAGAAGCTGCTGGACGAGCGCAGGCACTGGTGGATAAATGGTCTGATTATATTGCACGACTCCTCCCAACGCAACAACAAGCAGAAATGGATGTTCTCCAAGCCTTCCCGCCGCCGAGAGGCGAGGTGAGGGAGAACGATGAACTCACGGTGCTGGCGCAAATTGAGCGTTCTCGTGAACTGGTGGTCTTGGCCAATGGTTGCCTGCAGCAACGAAGAACTGATGGTCGTGGTTCAGTCTCCTCTCAACGATCTGAGAAGTCCGCTAAAGTGATTGGGGACCACACTGGTAATGCACGACAACGGACGCAACACACCATAGTTAATGGTCAACAAAGCGAACCTGAACATCCTGATGGTTTTACACGTCGTCCAGCTCAAACGCGCATTAATGATCACCAAGCTGGAACTGGTAATGGAACGAGGGCCCATCACACCAACTCAGCTAGTCAAGCCGGATTCTCGCCATACCAGCAACAAGGAACGTACAACGGTGCACCGATATACTCAACCTTCAGGCCATTCAGACTTGAGCCAATGAAGTTCTCTGGTGACCCGAAGGAGTGGACTGCCTTCTGGTTGGCCTTCGACCGTGCCGTGAACAGTCAACCCATACCACCGTTTGAGAAGCACCTGTGTTTACTGCAAAGTTTGGTACCTGGTTCTGTTGCTCATCGGGCAATTAATGGCTATCCACCGTCTGATGAAAACTATCCAATGGTGGTCAGTATACTGCGACGTCAATTTGGGGATGTAAAGGCACTGCGTGAAGGTCTTATTGCTGAATTACTACATCTGCCGTTGGCCAACAATTCACTGTTCTCCCTTCGTAATCTCCGAGAACATGTAGAAAGAATTTGTCTCCAACTTGAATCACTTGAAGGGTCTAATGCAACGCAGGATGAAATCGTGTGTGGAATAATCAGATCCAAATTGCCCCGGGAAGTTTTGGAAACTTTGATTGATTGGGAACAGGACGACGATGAATGGACACTGGCTCACCTCCGTGCTGGCCTGGGACGCATTGTGCAACGAAAGGAGCGTTTGGAGAGAACCATCACGAACTTACGGCCTGCTTTGCCTGAACGACGACTTCGTGAAGAGGAGCAACCTCAACGACGTCAACCACAGGATTGGTATACTCAAAACCGTCCAGCACAAATCACGCGTTCCTTTGTAACTGTCCAACCATTTGGCAACCGTTACGAACGACGACCAATATCACCACCAGCTTTTGCTGGCAAAGGATGTTCTTTGTGTATTGCAGGATCTGAACACTTACCGAGTCACTGTACAACATGGAACACTCCGCAGAAGCGTCAAATGCGTTTATTGGAACAACACAGATGCCTGAATTGTCTCAGAGACGACCATCTTCTCAATCAATGTCAAAGTGTGAAAAGATGCCGTGTATGTAAATGCCGTCATCACTTTATCGTGTGTATGCGACGAGGAACTATTGGACGTGAGGCACCACGAATTGAACGTCAACCAACGACTACAACGAACATTGGACGAGCAACTGGAGCAAATTCACAACCACTTGGCCAATTAGCTCGCGAGGGGTCAACAGTCAAACAAGCATCGACTACTCATACTGGAATGGCAACAGAGCCCCATACTATTGATGAAGCAACAGAGCTCAAGGCACAATCGACACACAGACCAAGAGCGTTACTCATGGTTACTGAAGTGGTTGTTCGGCCTATTGGAGCACGCAATCGTCAAGCCACGGCAGTCGTCTTCTTCGACCCTGGCAGTCAAACTAGCTTTATCTCTGGATCTCTGGTGCGTCAACTTGGACTCAAGAGTGGACATTCTGAGAAGATGCGTGTTCATGTACTTAATGGTGAGAAGAACGAACCTTTGTGTTTTGACTCGGCACGATACAAACTCCAACTTAAGCGAAGTGATGGTCAATGGGAGAGAATTGAACTCAATTACATAGAAGAAATTGCTGCTCAAATGGAAACTCCGAAGTGCATAGGTAACAATTACTCCGACAACCACGTGTTAAAAATGGACATTGGAAAACCGCATATACTCATTGGGACACGAGAATTTTGGAAGTACTTTATTGATTGCAGAATGACCAACCAGGGATATACAATCATTCGAACTGTTCTTGGACCAGTACTTGGAGGAGAAGCTAGTTTACCTGGACTGAATAAGACTCCTTCATCGTTAATGGCAGTCAACTCAATTAATCAAGAACAAATGCCTTCAGCAACAACCATCGAAGAATTTTGGTCTCTGGAGACTATTGGAATAAAGGACGACCCAGCTCAAGACGACGACCAACTGGCGGAGAAAATGGTTGACATGTCAATACGGCAGTTGGAGGATGGACGTTATTGTGTGAAATGGCCTTGGCGTGATCCATGCCCCGAGCTACCTTCGAATTTTGCTATGGCATATCGACGACTGGTTGCTACACTCAACCGATTGCGAAACGAACCAGACCAGCTTAAAAAATACAATGAAGTAATTTGTGAACAGCAACAACAGGGAATTATAGAGCTAACCAGTTGCAGCCCAGGCAATCGTGAACACTACCTACCACACCATGCCGTCATTACTTCGAAGAAACTAAGAGTGGTTTATGATGCCAGTGCCCATACAAAGGGTCAGGCTTGTCTAAACGACTGTCTCTACCGCGGACCTGTTTTGTTACCCGATCTGGCTGGCGTGCTTCTCCGTTTCCGTAACTGCTCAATACCAGTGCTTGCTGATGTCGAAAAGGCTTTTCTGATGATTGAACTTGAACCAGAGGACCGGGAGGTGTGCAAATTTCTTTGGGCGAAGGACCCTATGCAACCACCAACGGGCGAGAACCTGGCTGTTTACCGATTTTGTCGTGTGGCTTTTGGAGTTGTCTCATCTCCGTTTATGTTGGCTGCCGTTATTCGTGCTCGCCTGGCTAAATTTGGTCCCGAACAAGATGCCGTGCTCTTCAGAAATGTATACGTGGACAATTTGCTTATCGAGTGTGAAAATGTGGACGAAGCCAGAACTAAAGCCGTAGCTGCTAAAGAAGTGTTTAAACAAGCAAAAATGAACTTACGGGAATACATCTCCAGCTCAACTGATGTCATGAGTGCACTACCAGAGGAAGACAAACTCCAGCAAAAACAAGCTAAAGTTCTTGGAATTACTTGGGATGTCCAATCTGACGAGGTACTCTTTGAGCTTCCGGCAATGAAGAGCAATTCAACTATCACTCGCCGTACTGTTTTGAGCATTCTAGCTGGAATTTTTGACCCTTTGGGACTTATTGGACCGTGCACACTGGAGGCAAAGAAGTTCTTTCAAAGGCTATGGGATGAATCTCATGGATGGGATACTGAACTATCTATTGGAGAATCCGAACATTGGAAAAGAATTTGCGCAGATTGGAATGGGGCCATCATCAGACAGGAACGTTTCGTGCTTGGGAAGAATAACGACATACAAATACACGTGTTTACTGATGCTTCCGAAACTTCTTATGCGGCCGCCGTCTATTTGAGAACTGAATCAAAGACCAGGCTGGTGTTTTCCAAAGTGAGACTTAAACCAAGAAAAGCGCGAGAAACTATGACTATACCACGTATGGAACTCATGGGAGTGCTGTTGGGAGTGAGAGCAACTGCCTTTGTTAGCAGGCAGATACATCGATCAATTACTGCAACTCACTTATGGTGCGACTCACAGATCGTCTTGGCATGGATAAAGAGTAAAGAAACTCAACCTGTCTTTGTTGAAAATCGTCTGCGGGAAATCAGGAAGCAAGAGAATATGACATTTCATTATGTGAACACCACATTCAACCCTGCAGATGTAGCGACTCGTGGAACCACCCCAGCTCAACTGGTGGACAGCAAACTCTGGTGGAGTGGACCAACATGGATTAATACTCCCGACGACCAATGGCCTCACGAAGTGGAGTTCGACCTACCTCTGAAGGAAATAACCAAAGATGAGAATTTGGACGAAAAATTTGTTGGCGTTGTGACCGAGTTAACTGAAGAATCTATCGTCGATACGAAACGATTTAGTTCATTGCTTACCTTGCTTGGAACAGTTATTTGGGTGCTACGTTTTATCAAACTTCGTTGCGTACAGTTTCCATCCTCTATTTCCACAGCTGGCATTTTTACTGCGAATGATTACCGAATTGCACGTTCCTTGCTCATCCGATTAGCGCAACGGGAACACAAACTGGAAATGAAAAACATCCACACTATGATCGACTCAGAAGGAATAATTCGAATAAAAACGAGAATTGATAGGAACGCCGAATCAGGTGCTCCTTCTAATCCAATTTGGTTACCCCGACATGCCGGAATTACTTCTTTGATTATTTTGGACGTCCATCAACGACTCAAACATGCTGGAGTGGACTGGACTCTTACTGAAGTATTGCGAGAATTCTTCCTACCTCAAGCGCGAAGAACGACTAAGCAAATACTTTCCCAGTGCTCCAGATGTCGATTGATGAATAAGCCAAAATATGCCTTACCTATTATGCCACCACTCCCTGCCGATAGAGTTCAACGAAGGCGAACTTTTGAATCAGTTGGTCTCGATTATCTTGGTCCTACATTCGCCCGACAAGCCGGAGTAGTTGTTAAAGTCTGGATTGTCATAATCACATGTTTGTCTGTGAGAGCCGTATATTTGGAACCAACCTACGATTTGAGTGCACCATCATTTATCAATGTGCTAAGACGATTTATTAGCAGACGAGGGAAGCCTAGAAGAATACTTTCTGACAATGCGCCAACCTTTGTGCAAACAGGAAAAGCCCTCAAGACACTAGCGATGACAGACGACCCAACAGAATTTTCAGCACGTTCTGGAATTGATTGGCACTTTATACCGCAGCTTAGCCCCTGGGCGGGTGGAGTATATGAGCGTTTAGTGGCTTTGGTCAAGCATTCAATTCAAAGAACACTTGGGCGCAGAATTTTGCAGTGTGACGACTTAAGCGCCTTTCTGACTGAAGCTGAAGCAAGTATCAACTCACGATCTCTCACTACCGTCTCTGATGCTGAAGGAGCTCCGATGCCACTACGACCAATGGACTTTTTGTTACCTGGAGCGGACATGCACTTGGCTACCACCCCGTTAGAGGATGACTACGAGGATCAACACTTACCTTCGCATGAAAAGTTAGCAAATCATTGGCGTGCCACTCAGGAAGCTGTTGAATATTACTGGACTCGGTGGACCAAAGAATACCTGCTTGTGTTACGAGAAAGAGCAGGATGGACACACCGTGGACCACGATGTCAAGATAAATCTATACCCATGGTCGGTGATGTTGTGCTGATAGAAGAAGACCTGCGTCCTCGCAATTTGTGGTGCCTGGGGAGAATCACCGAACTAAATGGTCAAGAACCCAATATTAGAAGCGCCAAGGTGTTGATGTCAAATGGCAAAATACTAACCAGACCGATCAATCGTTTGTGTCCACTAGAGGCGAGTAAAAATGTTGAAATTGCTACACCAACTGTGCCTAAACCTGTCAAGCAACCACCACCTCAACGAACTAAGCTAAAAGAGAAAAAAGATAATCCACCAAACCCACCATGTCACAACATGATTACTAGAGCTAGAGCAAGAATGGATGCCACTACCGTCGCTGATTCAAGGCATTCGACAACGAGCTTGTTTGCCGCTGAAAAAGTTCTACCTACTTACCAAGCTGGAACGACCGCGGCTGTCACACCGACGAGCTTTTTACACGCAGGAAATTGCTTATGTGTTAGTCAAGCTTGTATTACCGGGGCTGCCACTGATCAATTGAATAAGTGCTCTTCAGTCAGAAAAATTAGCGCGAATATACGACAACAAGAAGGCCTGGTAGTGGAGTGCCGCCCCGCACCAAAAGCTCGAAAAAGGGGAAGTAGCGAAAGCGCACTCTACCACCATCGTCACTGCTCTGGACGCGACATATGTGCCGACGGAACATGCTGTCAACTGTCTCTGGTGCAGCGCAGCGACAACACTGAGTGCAATGAATGATGATGAAGAAGTCAGATGAATATGACGGATCTTTTGTTTCTTGGGGCGGGGGGAGTGTCGCCAAAGATTGGCGACTTTTTCGTTGAATTGTCATTTCGGTTAATTGTCCCCCATTTACTTTTCGTTAATTTTTCAGCCGTTCACCCCTTATTTTTTGTTGTCCACTCAATCTTTTTTCCCGCCAAAATTCCTTTCTCTATTTTTTAGTGACAGCCTACTCCTGTCACCTCAATTCTTTCCGATTGTTTTTTCTGTTCGTTTTCTCTGCCCCGTTCTCTCTACGCATTTTGTTTTCTATAATTCTGTAGGAATTATTTTCAATTTCGCAATTTTTTTGAGTTTTTTGTCAAACCCCGCCCTCTTTTAATCTCTATTTAAGTCGGCAGGCAAGCCTTAAAAATTATCCTTCAATCCTTCCATTCTACATCTATTTTACGGATCAACTTGTGGCTTGCCTGTGGACTTCTCTGTGGCCTTAACGTGTTATTTGGAATTTGTTGTGGAATAAATTTTACTTGTTTGAACTGTGTTAATTTTTTGTGGATTTTTTGGCGGCCGGCTGTGATTTATTAGAACTTGGAAGTTGTTCAATTTGTGTGTTTTTGGTTGAGAAAAAGTGAACGGCACTACCGTTCACCACTCCTACTCTTATTCGGCTAAAGTGACTCGTGCTCCGAGTCACTCAACTGCTCTTCTTCCTTCCTTTGACTGTTGGCACTACCAACAGTCTGGTGCTAGTGCCACATTTCACTAGCTGGTGCCACGACTCTTCCTCCTCCTCTCCAAACCATTTGTCGGGAACTCCCGACTCCCGACAATACCATATATACTCTATAATTACCCTCCCTTAAATAATCACCCAGCCTCTATTAGTTTCCCTCTCCAGCGCAAGTTTGAAACAATAATTACCCCCTAAAATTGTTTATTTAGCCTACTAAAATAACCTTCATTAATTACTTCGCCTCTATCAATTTCCCTCTCCAGAGTAAGTTCGAAATAATAATTACACAGGGTAATTACTAGAGTAGATACGGTACCTATAATATATTATATGATATTTAATAATTAATTTTAATTTAGAAATCTTCATTAAATCCTTTAATCGTCTTGTTAATTTTGATGGAGATTGGCAAGACTAGTTCATTGATTTTTAAACCAGGCAATTTTTAATATTTAACGTTTAATTTACTTTAAACCTTATAAGCAACTATTGAAATAAAGCCTTTGAAATAAAATTTTTCAAAAAAAACCTAGAAATTTAATTTATAAATTAAACGTTAAGTTAATCCATGTGTCGAAGTCGGAGAAGAATTCAAAAAATGTGCTTCTGCTTGTGAGCCAAAATGCTCGGATCTTACTAATACTTTTTGCGATAAGAGTTGCCAACCAGAAGCTTGTCAATGCAAGAACGGATATGCAAGGGATGACAAGAATGTTTGCATACCTATAGAGGATTGCCCAAAATATAAAGGCAACTAAGAAGTGTTATTAAAATGCGGAAGATGTTGAATGAGGATGGAGGATTTAAGGAAAAATAATTTTTTAAGTCTAACAGACTTTATTAAAATCCAGCCCCCTCCCTAGTACCGTTCAAACATAGTGATTTGTCACTGTTAATTTTAAAAATAAATATTTAAATTTTATTTTTTATGAATTTTTAAATTGATTATTTAATGTTGATTGAAATTAATCTAATAAAGACTTCAAAGTATTTTTAATTTTATAAAATTTTTTTAAAAAGCAACTTTTTAAATAAAAATTAAAAAGAGAAACATGATGAAAAGCAATTAAAACGTTAAAATTTAAAAAGAAAACTATTTTTCTTATAAACAAATTTAACTTCCTCGTTCGATCAAAGAAAGTTTTATGAATTGATCATTCCCTTTAAATTTTATAAATATGTACAAAAATACTTTTCCATTCTGATTTTATCATAGTATTTGATTTAAAAGTCAGTTTTAGATTCCTATCTTTTCTCATAAAGCGGTATTCGTTGGTAAAATGAGTGAAATCATTTGAGGAGTCATATCATTCAAATTAAAACTTATTCATGACTCCAAAGGATATACAATATACCGCTAAGTGGAAGTGAAAAATTTCAAAAAATATAAATATGATGATTTTTATGATTTTTAATTCAATGATAATTTTTCATTGAAACGAATGATATATTATACTAACTATTATAATTAAATATACTTGAGAAAATTTGATTCCCGATGATTTCTGGAATTTCGATATTTTCGATAAGAACTCCCTGAATACCTAACCAAAAATTCTCAAAACTGAAATCCTTTAGAACATACTCTAACATATGATTCCTAAAAAGATAAAAAATATTTTCTGAAAACTTAATTTTATAAATCAAAAAATCCAAATTAAAAAAGCGCACTAATTACGACCTGACCTAATTACTCTAACGGACACAGAAAATTAGGGCTTAACTATATAGTGATTTAGTCTAGATTTAGACATGTATATGCATTATCTTGATTGTATATTTATATATCATTAAGCAGTAATCATGATATCCGTAAATCTTGTTAAATTAAAAAATATTTTTCAGAACATTGTTCAGATCAGAATAAAATTTATAGTTTCTCAATAATTTTCAAATTTCATATAACTTTTATAAAATAGCCAAGATGCAGGTAAAACTATTTTTTGTTTTAAAAAGGACTATTTTTTACGAAACAGTTTAAGCTTATTTGTTTTGTTATGGTTATAATGATTGTTGTCAATGAAAGGGCTTTCTCTGCTTTAAATCAAGGTACATATTAATAAGCTTTGGATTTACCAAAAATTTAAGGTGATGTATGTGCTGAGGGAGAAATATACAAAGATGATTGTCCTTCCCATTGTGATCCAACTTGTAATAATCTTGGGAATATTATGTGCCTTACAGTATGCTGGTCTGGATGTTATTGTAGAGACGGATATGTGCGAGATGAAAATAGAGTTTGTATTCCTCAAGAGGATTGCCCTAAGTAATACGAATGAATAAAAATGAACTTAATTGATAAAGTGATATCCTTTACTATAATTAAAATTCTTTAAAAAAGAAATTGAGGACCCTGATAAAATTTAAGTATAAAAAAGTTTGCCCTTTTTAAAATTTTTTGTCAAAAAAGGAAATAAAAAAAATGAAAGGGATGATTAAATAAAAATTTTTTTAAGTCAAATGACTTAATCACACAGAGAAATTAGAAAAAAATTTTTAAGACGCGTTAAATTTTATTAAACATCCACGTTGAAATTGAAACAAAATCTAACGCTGTTCAAACAAAATGAGAAATTTTTATTTAAATTTGAGTTCCGGAGACAAAAAAGGAAAGCATTCTATTAAAGCCTTTGAAATTTATTTTTTATAAAAATTTATTTTAAGCTTATAATTAAGAAATATTAAAGAATATATCACTGATATGACATATTTATAGTTAAGAAAGATTACTTGAGAATCCTCATTACTTGAGAATCCAAAGGGGGGTTTGACAAGAGCATGCTGAAATTTTTAATTTAAAAAAGCCTACAGGGGGGCCAATGTACCCCGAGATATAACTTCGTTCAAATTATCGAATCCGGGACGCCTGGCATGGATTGATTCAGCTCACGGGGGGTAGTCCCGGATTACCTGTGCGTCCCGGATTCGATAATTTTGAACGAAGTCGTACGTTGGGGTGACACCTTTTAGGTATATGTATCTCGTCGATATCTCGAAAAAAATCTCAGTTATCGAGGAGAGATTTTTCGAGATATTTCGTACTGTCTAGAGATATGTATCTCTCTTTAAGTCCAATTTCTAATTATAATTCTAATAATAATTTTTTGAGGTAATACACCCTCTCCCCTAACCTTGCAGATGTTTTCCATTATCCTCCTCTACTTTATTAATAAAAATAAAAATAAAATTTTCCCCATTCGTCATTTAAAAAAGATTAAAAATAATAACAATTTAATTGTCAACATTTTTGTTTACATTTGTCTCTCAAATTTTTCTAAAAATAAAAAATAATTTTCAGCCGTTTTTGAAACGTGTTATTCCAAAAAATACATTAACATATACAATTTTAGAAAAATTTGTTCAAAACAAACAAAAATATTCCTTTAATTTTAGTCATTTAAATAATCCGAGAAATTTGAATTTTTAATTTTGTTTTTAACTTTAGTAGAAAAAATCGAAAAAAAGATTAAATGGATTAATTTTCGGTTATAAAAGGCTTCTGATAATTTTAAAAAAACTCGTTTTAATTTAAAAATTATTTTTCAATTAATAAAATTTTTCTATGGACTTAGTTCCATAACTTAAACTTATCCGATAACCAGTTATCCACCATCCAAATCTCTCTTCCAAACAAATTGTAATCCAAGCATCTAGGCATATCAGTCCACTGCCTTAACCGTTCATATTATACCGCTAAGATTAGAAATATGGTTTGCGGTCCGGTTCGGTTCGAAAGATCGAGCCGAGCCTCGAATTTTGGCCCGAAAAGAGGCCAAACGACCGGTTCGATAAAAATAAAGCCCGAAAAAATATCTTGAACGTCGGCCTGGTCGAAAAATCCAACCCTAATTAGAAAATATCCGAGCTTTTGCGACACGAAACTTTTCTTAAAATTAATTTAAAGAATTATTAATTTTAAGAAATAATATTTAAAAATTAAAAATAATATTATTATTTATTATTCAATTATTTTGCTAAAATGCTGGTAATATTTCTTAATTAATAAATACTTTTTAAATATTTACAATTAATATTTTATTTAAAATTTATTTAATTTAGAAGCATCAAAATACTTTAATCAAACTCGGCATTTTGCTGATTTTATGCCTCGCTAAATCTGCGCAAGGTATTAAAAAAATAAAGTCAAATTAACTTTAATAATAATTTATTTATTATTACTGGGGTTGGGGGCCAGATCCGGCCCGGTCCTCCGAAAGATCCAGTCGGGCATAGAATTTAGTCCCGAAAACGATTCGATCGGGCCGGCCCGAAAAAATGAAGCTCGAAAAAATGACTCGAACGTCTGCCCGACTTGAAAACCCCAACCCGAATTACTCTGATAGTGTTTTGAGAACGTATCTGATTACTGTATCTAAAATTCGAATTAATTCAGAATCAGTCAAAGCTTGTGATGACGGAGAAGAATTCAAAAGTTGTTCTTCTCCTTGTGAGCCAAAGTGCTCGGATAATGGAAATACTGGTTGCATAGATATGTGTGACAAGCCAAGATGTCAATGCAAGCAAGGATATGCAAGGGATGAAAATAAAAAATGCATACCTAGAGAAAAATGTCCAAAAAATGGTACTACATGCGCTCCCGGTAATTAAATAATTTTTAAAGGACGAGAGTTTACATGCTTAATGAGGAACGGATTAAGCCGCAAACTGAACGTTATACTTAGTTTGAGTGGGGGAACGGTAATGTGATTTTTCGAGATCATTATGATCATGTTCAGGACATTTCTACGGTAGACCTTGCTGTAGAAACACCCCCTAACTCAGTAGATCCATAAATATACGTCTCTCTCCTATCCCTTCATAACTTAATTTTTAATACTTTAAAGATTATGGATGTAAGGAAGGCGAAGTATTCAAATCATGCGCCTCGGCATGCGAGCCAACTTGCAAGGATACTGGAGATATTGCCTGTACTCTTCAGTGTCTGCCAGGAAAATGTCAATGTAAAGAAGGATATGTTCGAGATGAGAATAATACCTGCATTCCCAAAGAAAAGTGCCCAAACTTGCCGAATCCCTACCCACAATGTAAGGTTTCCTAAATATAAATTCTATGAAATCTTTAAGGATGATCCCTCTCTGCTAAAAATAAAATAATTTTAAGTTTGTTGTAATCCCTTTCACCCATGTTGGAGATGTCCTGTCGGGCAGCACTGTGTTGGAGAACCGGGAGCACGCAGATGCGTCCCAACCGTTTGTAATTTGGCATGCAGAATTGGTTATGAATGCAAAATAATTGATGGAAAGCCCACTTGTGTTCCATCGCAAAACGGTTGTAGTCTGATAAAATGTCGAAGCGGTTATGAATGCAAAATAATTGATGGAAAGCCTCAATGTGTTCCAATTGCATGTAATTTAGCATGTAGAATTGGTTATGAATGCAAAATAATTGATGGAAAGCCTCAATGTGTTCCAAAGTGCAGCAAGGGTGAAGAATATAAGGATTGCCCAACTGGATGTGAATTAATATGTGGACAAAAGCCAAGATTTTGCCCAGCTGTATGCTTGAAACCTCCACGATGTCAATGCTCGCTGGGATATGCCAGAACTTCAGAGGGCATTTGTATTCCTAGAAATGAATGCCCGATATCAGAGAATGCTACGACAGAAGTCCCGCGTAGGCTTAAACATTTAAAAGGCCCTGTTTGAAAAATTTCTCCTTAGCTTCAACAACACCTCTAATATGCGTAGAAGGCGAAGTAGCAGGTATCTGTCCATGTGAAGCTACATGCGCAAGAAAGCATCCAATATGCCCGTTACTTTGTCGTCCAGGGAAACAATGTATGTGTAAGCGAGGATTTGCTCGTGTTGCTAAAGGAAAGTGTATTCCAATTGAACAATGCCCTGAAGAGCCAACAACTCAAAAACCATGTATCCTGCCTTGCCCACTTGCCTTTTTATGTAAATTTGTCAATGGAGAAGCAACATGTGTTAGAGCCAAGGATTGTAGTAAAATAAATTGTGGGATTGCATATACATGCAAAGTAATTGATGGAGAGGCAACTTGCGTTCCATTGTATGGTAAAAGTACAACAGAAACTTATGGTAATTTCATTGTTTAAAAAATTGTATAGGGGATGAACATGATTGTGTGGGGCGGAGGATAGCCCACTCATGGATAGCGCACTCCTTAAGTTATATAGATAGTAGTAAAGGGATTTAGGGGTTAGGGTTTTTGTTTAAGTTTACGAGACAAATGACCGAATGTGCCTTAAATTTTGGAATGAACAAGCCACCCCCGATTAAATAAACCCCCCTTTCTGAGAAACTGATAAAACCTTAAGATCAAGGCCGTGTTTAAAATTATTTCTAATCCAAATTTGAGTTTAACAAAATAAAATTTAGATGATTAAACAAAATAAAGGAAGGAATACTAAAAGAACTTTAATGAAAAAATAAATTAAATAATTATTAAAATCATAAAATAAAAATGTAATTATTATACATAAATATAATTTATAAATTATTGTCAGAAATATAATTTAAATAAAAATTTTATTTTTCGAGATAATTTTTAATTAATAAACTTATAGGTAAAATTAAGACAAAAAACTCATTAAGAAGTTTGTGAAATAAAGTTGATGAAACTTAATGGATATTTGTGGATTAGTTAAATATATCGACATACCAAATTTCGAAAAGATACATTAAATCAACTTTTTACTTAAGACCGATTGAATTTTAGACTTTAACCTAACTTTTCTCTCCAGCTTTATAGAAATATGAGATAGTCTCTTGGCTATTGAATAGCCCTACTTTCAACGTATCTTTTCTGTAAACTTATACGGAGTGTATATGCATTAGAGATCGAGATTTTTGAAAAGCCTGGACCTTTTCCTGGACTCTGGGTTTGATATATGACCTGGGCCGGATCTGGGCATATTCCCATACCTATAGAAAAAATCAGGAAAGTCAAAAAATGCCTGGGCCTGCACTCTGGGTACATGAAAAACACAGGCGTTATGCCAGGTCCCGCTCTATCTCTAGTGTATATCAGTGATGTCATGGGATCAGAAAAATGTCGGATCGGGTTTCGGAGCTTCAAAACATTCTTTGGATCGGATCTCGGTTTGAAAAAGGTCCAAGATTCGGGTCTCGGGATACGGGCAACCCGTGACATTAGTCCTGGTGTGCATGAGCAAAATGGAGGGAGATTTTATTGTGAAGAGAAAAATGCTTTACTTCCCAAAAAAATTTTTTGTGTTTACAATATTTGAAAATTATTTTTTGTAAATATTATTGTTTACTCTACAATTAACTTAAAATTCAAAAAATAAAATTTTAGTTGATTCAAAATCTCAAATCTATGAAATTTGCATAAATTCAAACAAAGCACCGAATATAAACAATAATATTTTTATTTTAATTTGCACACTGGAAAACATACTAAATCTTTTTATTATTTGTTGGAAAATTATTTAAAAACGTTTAGTACACCAAGTTTAAGGATATATAAACTAGGCAGTTTCGATAGTTTCTCAGAATCTTTTAGATTTAAAATTTTATTTAAAGTCTTCAAATACAAATGCTTGGTTAACTCGAAATCATGGTAAATAAATTAAATTTTAAAATTAATTAGTATTGCAATAATTATTATAGGTATAAGCTTCTAGTTATTATTATTATAAGCTTAGATTAATCATTATAGATTCACAAAAAAATTTTTTATTGAGTAGGGTTAGTGGCTCATAGAGAACCTATTAGTTCCGGTACGTAATCAAAAACTGAACAGAAAAACCATCTATTTTTCTATTACCATATTATTCAGGTTTATTCAGGTCCGATATGATTGAAATTTTTATCAGAAATTCCTTTAACTCGAAAAACGATAATACATACATAAATTTAACATTTAAGAAATAAACTTTAAATGCTCCTGAAAATTTCTATAAAAGATATGACCTAAATCTTATTCTTTAAGAATAATTTTCTCCAACTTGTGGGGGCTATCGCCATTTTTCTGACCCTGACTTGCAATGGAGTATTCGCAGGAATTATAATAAGTATGTATATGTATTATCTAACCTTTAAAATAAATTTAATTAAATAAAAATTAAGATAACTGTACTGATGGAGAGGAATACAAATGTCGTTCTAATTGTGAGGCAAGATGTGAAAACCTTGGGCATGATAACTGTAAAGCAATCAGCGAATGTCAATGCCAATGCAAATCAGGATATGCTCGTGACGCAACAAATTGTTGTATCCCACAAGAAAACTGTCCGATAGCAACTACAACGAAACTGCCTTCTAAAACATCGACAGCGCAAGCTTCAAGTGAATCCAATGAAAATACCAAGAAGCCTGGAGCCTCAGTTGAATCCAACTCCAAAGAAAATACCAAGAAGCCTGGAGCATCAAGTGAATCCAACTCCAAAGAAAATACCAAGAAGCCTGGAGACTCAGTTGAATCCAACTCCAAAGAGAATACCAAGAAGCCTGGAGCATCAAGTGAATCCAACTCCAAAGAAAATACCAAGAAGCCTGGAGCCTCAAGTGAATCCAACTCAAAAGAGAATACTAAAAAGCCTGGAGCATCAAGTGAGTCAAACTCCAAAGAAAATACAAAGAAGCCTGGAGCCTCGAGTGAATCAAAGGAAAATACAAAGAAACCTGGAGCATCAAGTGAATCCAACTCAAAAGAGAATACTAAAAAGCCTGGAGCATCAAGTGAGTCAAACTCCAAAGAAAATACAAAGAAGCCTGGAGCCTCGAGTGAATCAAAGGAAAATACAAAGAAGCCTGGAGCCTCAAGTGAATCAAAGGAAAATACAAAGAAGCCTGGAGAATCAAGTGAATCCAACTCCAAGGAACATACGAAAAAGCCTGGAGAATCAAGTGAATCCAACTCCAAGGAACATACGAAAAAGCCTGGAGGATCAAGTGAATCCAACTCCAAAGAACATACGAAAAAGCCTGGAGGATCAAGTGAATCCAACTCCAAAGAACATACGAAAAAGCCTGGAGGATCAAGTGAATCCAACTCCAAAGAAAATACGAAAAAGCCTGGAGGATCAAGTGAATCCAACTCCAAAGAACATACGAAAAAGCCTGGAGGATCAAGTGAATCCAACTCCAAAGAAAATACTAAAAAGCCTGGAACATCAAGTGAATCCAAATCCAATGAGAATACGAAAAAGCCTGGAGGTTCAAGTGAATCCAACTCCAAAGAGAATACCAAGAAGCCTGGAGCCTCGAGTGAATCCAAATCTAATGAGAATACGAAAAAGCCTGGAGGTTCAAGTGAATCAAACTCCAAAGAAAATACTAAAAAGCCTGGAGGATCAAGTGAATCCAACTCCAAAGAGAATACCAAGAAGCCTGGTGCCTCGAGTGAATCCAAATCCAATGAGAATACGAAAAAGCCTGGAGTTTCAAGTGAATCAAACTCCAAAGAAAACACGAAAGAAACCACTACAACTACTCCATCGACCACAACTACTACCCCATCTACCGCAAAAACTACCCCATCAACAACTACTACCCCATCTACCACAACAACTACCCCATCAACAACTACTACCCCATCAACCACTACAACTACCCCATCTACTACAACTCCATCAACCACCACAACTACCCCATCAACAACTACTACCCCATCTACCACAACAACGACCCCGTCAACGACTACTACCCCATCTACCACAACAACGACCCCGTCAACAACTACTACCCCATCTACCACCACAATTATCCCTTCAACAACTACTACCCCATCTACCACAACAACGACCCCGTCAACGACTACTACCCCATCTACCACAACAACTACCCCGTCAACGACTACTACCCCATCTACCACAACAACGACCCCGTCAACAACTAGTACCCCATCAACCACCACAACTTGTCCATGTAATAAAATCTGTCCTTATGGTAGTGTATGCGAAATTGTCCAAAAATGTGTTGTTGTTACCCAACCCACTACTCCATCAACAACTCCCGCTTCATGTACTCCATGCCCACCTAATTGTCAATGCAGGAGGAATATTTATGGAGACTGCGTACAAGTTTACTAAAGTCCAATAAAGATTTAAAGTAAATTATAAAAATTATTACCCCAAAAATTAATTTTAAAATTTTAGATATGTACAAAGTAACAAAAGACAAATGATAAGAAAGAATAAAAATGATAAGAAAGAATATTAAAGTAATATAAATAATAATTAATTTTATGAAAATTAATCCTGTGATATTCTATACAGTTAATTAAATCCAAATGTATAACTATAAAAATATTTATGTGTAATATTTGAATAAACTTGTTAATTAAATTATCTATTTACTTAAATTTACCTAAGTAGGTTTCTCATATCTATGTATAAGCTGGGATTTTTATCAAAGATAATTTTCGAGAAAAAAACTCGATGAAAACTGGGCGAGCGATTGTTTATCAAGATTTTCTGTATATAATGCCAAATAATATTTTAAACATCATTTAAAAAAATAATCTTCATCGACCTATCAAAAAACCACAAAATAAGGGAAAATCCTCAGAAATCGAATCACTGTATTACTTCATAAAAATAATAATTATCGCAAAAATAATAATTCAAATCTTCTCAAGAATATGTTTTAAAAAATAATACAAATTTCGCACAAGAACCAGATCTATCGGAACCAGATCCACTTTAGTTCCGGATTTCGGAACCGGAACTTTTCTTAGTCCGGCTGAAAGGATATTTAAAAATTATGGTTATTTATGCGCATATTTGGCTTTTAATATATTGTCTATTCATTTTATTTTAAATATTTTAAAAGGGTCCTTATAGCTTTTGTGATATCTACATATTATTTGGCCGATTCTTATGATCTAAAATCGCACTTCCTGTTTATATTATTCATTAATTTTACTCAAAATCAAAAAATTATTTCAGTTGTTTATAAGGCAGAGAACATCACCTAAATGCCCATAAAATTAGCGTCGGGAAATTAACGACCTGCTTCTGTTTTTCTAATTTCTTCTCAAATACAAGAACCAATTTATCTTATAGCAAATTTTAAGAGCCCAAAATGAAAATTTATAACCATCCTTAAGGGGCCGAAAATATTTCTTAAA